CCCGCGCCCGCCACGCGGGGGGGGCAAGCGCAGATCCAAGAGGTCAGCGCCGACCTCCGGAAGTGTATGTTTATGTCGTGCTTCGTTCCCCGACATGCTCGTCCGCGCCCGCGCCCGCCACGCCTCGAGCTTGTCCTGTGCGCCCTCTTTTCGTAGCTGGGCTCCGTGCGGATCTCCTTGCGGGTGGACGCCCCCCTCTTGGCCCCCCCCCTGCGTAACCTGACTCTGTCGGTTGCGCAGGCCCGAAGGAGGGGTGCGCGGGGAGCTCACAGCGAGCGCGGTGTTCAACGGCGCGGAGGTGCTCGCAGAGGCATGTTGGTGTCCATAAGTAGGGTTCATGAGCACGGTGATGTTCATCAGGACACGCAATTTCCAGACACCCTGTACCCTGTGCGGTTTTCCAGACATTCTGCGCACAGCTTGCACCGTGTCTGCCGAGTGCCCGAACAGGCGCCGAAGAGGTTAGCTTAGGCTTATCTGCCAGCAACTTTCCCCCTCCGGATTCACCTGGGATGTCGCCGAATGCTAAGGCTTCGGGTTGACGGCATAATGGTTTGTGCCACTGTCTCGGAGGAGGAAAATGCCCATACCGTTACCTGTCCCTCGTGTGTTCCGTTTTCGTTTTCCTGGGATGCTTTCGTGGCCGCCGCTGGATTCGCGCCGACCTGTTGGTCAGAACGCACCCCGGGAGAGGTCCAAGGAGTAGCGGTATGGGTACTTTTTGGTTTCCTTACTGCTGGCTTGTGCAAGGGCAGCCTTGAGGGCGCGAAGTTGTTCGCGCTTCGTGCTTCGCGGCGCGGCTCCGATTCCTCCTCCTCCTCCTCCTCCTCCTCTGGTCCCCTGGGGGTGGGCGTCGCGAGAGCTCGAAGTTGGTCGCGCTTCGCGCTCCGCGCAGCGCGAGAGTGCGAACTTCAGGAGCCTTCGGTTTGGGTCCACTGTTGGCCTCTGGGTGCCCGTGCGGGCGCCCCAAGGGCCGTCGAAGGCCAGCCTCTTTCTTGGTGCGCTTCGCCCCAGGGTGCTCCAAATCCCTGATTAATCGTCCCCCGGGTCCGGTTTTTTTAAGGCGCCTTTTTGTAATCGAGGGGGGTCCGGTTCATTACGGCGTTTTCTTTGGATTGGAGCCTTGGGGGTCCAGTTTATCAAGGCGCCCCGTCGAAGAGGGGGGTCTGGAATATTAGGTCGCATTTGGAGGGGGGTTTATTTATTTAGGGTCAGGGGGGGTGGGCGATTCATAAGGGATTGAGCACTCGGGGATTGGGGGCGCGAAATCGCCTACGACGGGGGCGCCCCCAGACACCCGAGGCGTCGCAGGGAACGGCCGAGCGAGCCAGGCTCTCGAGGGCCGACCCACGCGCCAGGCCCGGCTGCACCGCCACCGAGCAGGCAGCAGGCAGTCCGCGAGCGAGGAAGCCGGAGCACCACGCAGACAGCAACGCCCTGCTTCGGGGGTGGACAGACCTCCTACCCTGACACGTCGATGAAGGTATTTGCCGTTTTCGGTTCGCGAGAGGGCGTCGCGGCCGTTATTTTTGCGGGTCCAGGTCCGTCGGTTTCGGTCCCAGGCCGTTTTCACTAAGGAGAGGTCTACTAAAGGGAGGTTTGTCCACCGCCGACTGCTGCTTCCCAGCGGGGCTCACCAGAAGTCTCGACCCCTTCTGCGAGGGCCGCCCTCGTGGCCGTTGCTCTGTTCTTTCTGGGTAGCGGTTGTCACTGGGGGGGGGCGGGGGAGGGTCGGGCGGGAGGGTAACAGTAACGGCGGCCGCGGCATGCACCCGCCAGGGTGCGTCCGCGCCACGAGCGCACCCGTCGCCTGTGTGCACCACAGCATGTGGGGGGGGGGCGAGCCAGGCCCCCCCCCAATAGGATCGTTAGTCGGGCCGGACGAAAGGGGGGGATTGGGAAAGGGGGGGTTACGAAATTTGCCGCATGCAGCTGGTTTCGGCCTCACCGAGGGGCCCATTCCTCGATACATGGCCGCCTCCAGCGCCGGGAGGCACCAGGAAAATCAGCTACGTGAGCTGATTCTCAAACCCCCCCTTTGCTATCCCCCCCTTTCGCCCGACCCGAGTTTGGCACGCGGGGGCATAATTATAGAATTCAGACAGGTCTCGTGGTTTCTTGTCCCATCGATGCGACGCGAGGCGGGCCCACGTGCCTCCACGCCGCAGGATCGCAGGCGTCGCCGGCACGTGGCCGATGCGTAGTTCGGCTGAGTTTAGGTCGGGCGTGTCCCCTTGCGGGCGGATCTTGCACGAAAAATAAACATAGTCAACAAATATCCAAAAAGGACAAACAATGATATAAAAATCGTCCCATGATTCTTTTTTAAAGCAATGTTTGAATGTTCCTCCTGTAGAGGGACAGGCCTGACTCAAGGCCAAGTGTGCATCGGCTGTGCGGCGCGATTCGCAGGCCCCATCCACGCACTCGGACTCCACTTGCCTCGGAGGCGACGATGGGGGCCAACAGGCCAGGGGGGAGCAACACACGTATCAAGGGGCGCCGAAGCTGCATGCTCTCAGTGAGGCTCCCGTGCGAGTACGTGCAACGCCCCTGTCGGGACCCTCGGTCAGTCGCCCCTGTCGTCGCCCCGAACTGCCGAACAGCCCAAGCATGAACTCGCGGAGCTCCCCGCAGATTCCTTGGATGGGCGTTGGGCCCCCCTGGCGCCGTCCCTGGCGCCGCCCCTGGCGCCGCCCCGCGCGCCAGGGGAGGGGACCCCAGCGCCGATCCATCAAATTCCGCGCGGAGCTCCGAGAGTTGATGTCCATGCCGTGTCGTCTTCCTCTGACGTGCGAGGCCTCTGTCCGACGCTGTCGCCGTCGCAGGGTGTGGGCTCGTGGGAGGACCTGTCGCCTACACAGGTGGCCAAGCGGGGGGCAGCGGCAGGGACTGGCTTTAAGTCGGGCCTGTCCCTCTACAGGAGGAATATTCAGAAATAGTTAAAAATAGTCTTGGGACTATTATTTTCGTTTTTTTTGTTTGTTGGCGCATGTGTTGGGTATTTTTTTGCGTTCGCCCAAAACCCGCTAGTAGGGGGACATGCCTGACCTAAGATTGGCCCAGGGGGTGCCCAAACGCCCATGCATCGCCCATTGAAGCCTGGGCCCCCGATCCCGCCCAGGAACGTGCGGTGTCGCTATCGGCGGCCCATCGCCGATCTGTCGGCGACGTCGTTGTCACCGATTCCAGGCGCACATGCTTCCCCCCCTCAGCCATCCACCCGTTCTCGCTCCTCTTCGAAAGGCCCCTTTGAGGCAGGCCTAGGACGAGAATAGATCGCTTCAGAGCTTTCTGGAACGCTCTCAGAGCGTTTCGGAGCGCTGTGGAGACGGCCGCGACGCCCGATGCGCCCTCCCAGACTCGCCAGCTTACAGCGATTCCCGATTTATCTTTGTCTGGGTATGTTCGTCTTGCCGTCGTCTTCCGAGACATCCTATCCGACGTCGAGTTTTTTTCACGACGTGGCTCCGTGGATCGTGGATTCCCATTTTTGACGGTGCCGGGGCCCCGCATGGGTCTGTGGAGGTCGACAATTGTCAAACAGATTCCCGCTGTTTTTTTTTTTACGACGCGAGGGTGTCAGGGAATTTGGGGATTGGGGCCGCCAAGCCCTTTGGTTCGGATGCAACTCCTGATACGCTCAATTTGGCATTTTTGCTGGTACGCTCGTGATGAAAATTGGCCTAGTTCTTCATAGTCCGCCTTAAATTGACGAAGAGGGCTACGGGTGCGTGTTGTCGGATGGTTGCCCCCGCTCGAACGGGAGCGTTCCCCAGGGTCCGACAACCCGCACCCATACCCACAGCCAGTCCTCCTCCCAACGACCCCCCTATGGGTATGGGTGTGTGTTGCTCGTTCGTCATTAAATCGGGGAAGGTCACCGGATTTCGGGTTTGCCGACGCTTTTTTAATGGGTTTGTCTTGAAGTTTGACGGTCCAGTATTCGTGGGATGTTTGCATCGGAAGGTCGCGTCACATTTTAAGCAAAAAAAGCCTACCTGAGTGCGTCGAACCCGACTCTCGTGCCTCCCCAAATCCAGGGCAGAATCCAGCCTCATCCGTCCCTGGCCCCTCAATCAGGCCAAACACCCTTTAAATTCGGGAGCGAAACAAAGTCGCAACCGTACAGGATCCCATGTTTGTTTCGAGCGTACGCATCGCGCGAACGCTCGCATCACGCGGCTGGTCTCGTGGACTGGGGGTGGGCCGTTTTCATGTGCGTTGTTGGGCGCGTCCACGTTGTTTGTCTTGGAATCGCTCGAACGTCTCGGCGAGGACCATCGAGGAGCAGCCTGGATCATCTGCCCCCCAACAAAAAAACAAAAACCACAAACAACACGCGAAACCGATCCACTCACGGGGTCCGGACGTCCGAGCGATGGCAAGGTCGGGGGCAACGATAGGGGGGGGGATAGGCATAGGGGGGGGGGCGGGGGAACGCATCGACCCCCACTCGCCCATGGATCGCCGAGAAGGGGGCCCGACAGCCCCCGATCTGCCCCAGGAGGGTGCGGATTCACTATCGGGGGCCTGCCGACGATCTGTCGGCGACGGATCGCCGATGCCAGGTGGAGGCTTTGCCCCCCGAGGTCCCCAGCCTCCCCTATCTTGGCCCCTCACGTGACGTGGGTTCTCTGCTCTGCGGTCCCGCGGAGACCTCCCCGGGAGTTCTGCCCCCCAAGGTCCCCCTCCTCCCCTATCTTGGCCCCTCGCGAGGTGTGGGTTCGCTGTTCGCCGGTCCCGCGGAGACCGCCCCAGGAGTTCTGCCCCCCAAGGCTTCAGTCGGGCCTGTCCCTCCTACAGGAGGGATAGATTCAAAAAGAGTCACAGAATATCATGGGGACGATTTCTCGACTACTTTTGACCATTTGGGGGGCATTTTGTTGGATTATTTTCTGGATTTTTCGTCCAAGATCCGCCTGTAGGGGGACGTGCTCGACCTGACCAAGGCGTGAGGCGAGATCGAGGCGCGGGGGCCGCCGAGACCCCAGGGCAGCAGACGGGACTCCAGGGCGCGGTCCCCGGCTGCGTGGCCGCGCGCCGCCTGGCGAGCGTCGCAAGAGCGTTGGCCCGGCTCCGCCGGCATTCGCGCGTGACCTGCCCGCGGTTGAGGTCGGGGCTCAAAAGACGGGGGTCAATGCAAAGAGGGGTCAGCCAGAGCGCGGGATCTTGCAGGATCCTGCAGGGCCAGGGTCACATTGACCCGGGCTTGGGCGCAGGATCCTGCAGGATCTTGCAGGAGCCTTCGCAGTAGCCCGGATTTGGGTGCAGGATCCTGTTGGATCTTGCGAGGCCTGAATGCCCCGGGTCTGGATTGACCCTGGTTACTCCAGATTTCGTAATACAGGGAGGGGGGTCTCATTTCGGGGGGGGGTCTCTTCCAGGCTATCTTGGAGGGCCTGGGGGGTCTGGGAACGATGTTTTGGAGGGTTCTCCCACGGGGGAGGTCTGAAATGGCTTGTCTTGGAGGGTCCAGACCCCCTCCCTTTTATTACGAAATCTGGAGTAGAAGATCCCCGATTCAGGTCGCGCGCAGGTGCCCTCTTCTCCAGCGTTCGGCGGCGAGCGAGAGGAGGAAGTGAGGAGGAGGAGGCCCTCTCAGAGGGCGGCGAGGCTTCTCAGAAGCCATCGCGCCCTCTGAGAAGTGTGGTGCGTCTTCGGGGGAAGCCTTGGAAAGCTTCTCGGCAGGCCGGGCCTTCTGAGAAGGCCCACCCCTGCTCACTTCCACCCTGGGCTCGCCGCCGAAATGTGGGGCGCCACGCTGGCGTCCCGCGTAAGCCGCGGCTGAAGGTCGCTGTGCCATCTCGCGTAGGATCCGTTTCTCTTCGTTGTTCACATGGTGTCCCCCGACACCGGCAGCGGCCGCTGCTGGGCAGGCGGAATCCTGCCTCAAGAGAGGGCAACGTCCGCGGTTATACGGACAGCGAGTCCTTTTCAAAACGGGCAGGATCTTCTGTCGGTTTCTGTACCCATTCCGGCCACGCGCAGAGGGGGGTATGGGGGAGGGGGAAGGCTTTTTGGAAGGAGGCTGCTCCTTAGAAGGCGCGGGCCTTGTCTGCAGATGCAGGGCCGTCGCCGCCTCCTTCTGAGACGCCCTCCTCCCTCCCCCTACCTACCCCCCTGTGCGCGCCGCCATCCACTCCGTCCGTACCGATGCTGCTACTCCGCGGACCTCTCCCAGGGTGTGTTCTGGCCAGAATTTCGAGGCGAATCCAGCGGCGTCGACGAGGGCCTCCCTCGAGGCCCCACACAAGGCGAGAACGAGGAAAGGGTAGCGGTATGGGTTCCGCTTTCGATCGTCCCGGAGGTGGACGAGTACAGCCTGGAGGCCAAGGAGCTCATCAAGCTTCGGCACAGGCCCGAAGCTCCGCCCCCCACAAAATAGGCACAGAGACCTTCCACTGGATTGTTCATGGGCCTCAGGGGAGGGTGGCGGCGAACACATATAAGTCACCACTGAGAGCCAGCGATTCTACGCACCGCCCCACTCCCTGAAGATATATGCACAGTTCGTCGGAGGGTGTCTATGTATCCATATCTCTCTCTCTCTATATATATATATGAACACACATACAACGGGGGACCGGGGGCCGGCGCCCCGACCACAAATAAAATGTGGGGCCCCGGGCCGGCCCGGGCGTCATTGTCCTTGTGTTTTTACGGGGGTTCGGCGACCCGGGGCCAACAGGGCCCCAAGTGGCTGCAGGGAAGCCCCGGGAGGCCGCAGCGATGGCTCCACGATGGCTCCAGACGCCTTTCAAGACGACTCCCATGACGCCAAGAAGGCCCCCGAAGACGCCCCAAGAGGCACCCCGAGAGAGGCCCAATAAGCAAACATCGTCGATTTCCTATGGGCAAAACTGATATTTTTGGCGTGTTCACCTTTTGGGCGTCCACTGAGCCCAAGACGGCCCAAGAGGCACCCAAGCTGGTCGAGGATGCCCCCAAGAGGGCCCCAAGACGGCCCACGAGGGGGCCAAGACGGCCCACGAGGCGCCCAAACCGCCCAAGAACGCCCCAAGGCGGCGCCCAAGGCGGGGACGAGGAACCGGAAATTCACACTGTTTGGCCCCAGAGACCCCCAGGAGACCCCAAGAGGCTCCAAGAAGGGGCCCAGAAGCCCCAAGAGGCGCCCTTGAGACCCGAAAAATAATTAAAAGAGGCCCCGAAGACGCCCCGAGAGGCACCCCGAGAGAGGCCCAATAAGCAAAATGGGAAAACTTATATTTTTGGCGTGTTCGCCTCTTGGGCTTCCACTGCGTCCAAGACGGCCCAAGAGGCACTCAAGCCGGTCGACGTTGCCCCCAAGAGGGCCCCAAGACGGCCCACGAGGGGGCCAAGACGGCTCACGAGGCGCCCAAACCGCCCAAGAACGCCCCAAGGGGCACCTTGCACACTTATAGCAGCCCAAATGTATGTGTATATATATATATATATATACACACACATATAACGGGGGACTGGGTCCGGGGGCGGGGGGCTGGAGCCCCGACCAAAAATGTGGGGCCCGGCGCGTTGGGAGCCTTGCCAGAGCGCCGGGGGCCGTCCAAGATCGCCCGAAGATTGCTTCGGAACACTCGAAAACGCGCTCCGATGGCTCCGGACGCCTTTCAAGACGACTCCCGAAGGCCCCGAAGACGCCCCAAGAGGCACCCCGAGAGAGGCCCAATAAGCAAACATCGTCGATTTCCTATGGGAAGCTGATATTTTTGGCGTGTTCACCTTTGTGGCGTCCACTGCGCCCAAGACGGCCCACAGAGGCATTCAAGCCGGTCGAGGATGCCCCCAAGAGGGCCCCAAGACGGCCCACGAGGGGGCCAAGACGGCCCACGAGGCGCCCAAACCGCCCAAGAACGCCCCAAGGCGGCGCCCAAGGCGGGGACGAGGAACTGGAAATTCACACCTTTTGGCCCCAGAGACCCTCAGGAGACCCCAAGAGGCTCCAAGAAGGGGCCCAGAAGCCCCAAGAGGCCCCCATGAGACCAGCAAAAACATTAAAAGAGGCCCCGAAGACGCCCCGAGAGGCACCCCGAGAGAGGCCCAAATAAGCAAACATCGTCGATTTCCTATGGGCAAAACTGATATTTTTGGCGTGTTCGCCTCTTGGGCTTCCACTGCGTCCAAGACGGCCCAAGAGGCACCCAAGACGGTCGAGGATGCCCCCAAGAGGGCTCCAAGACGGCCCACGATGGGGCCAAGACGGCCCACGAGACGCCTAAACCGCCCAAGAACGCCCCCCAGGAGCCCAAGAGGCTTTTCCGGGGAGCCGCCACAGCGCCCCAGGAGGGCCCAAGACACCTCCAAGGAGCCCCCAGAATGCAACAGGATGGTCCAAGACGCTCCCAAGCAGCCCAAGTCAGCCTTCCGACGGCTCTCGAGGCTCCCAGGTGGCCCCCAAGAGACCCCAAGAAAGGTCCGAGAGGCGTCCCGGGACGGCCCGAAGAGGCCAAAATCGTCGATGTTCACTTGTTGTTTCCATGCTTTTGGCTTTCGCGTTTTCGAGCTTCTAATGGTCCAAGAGCGCTGAAGAGGCTCCCACGACCGCCCCAAGACCACCTGAGAGACCCTCAGGACGGCCCCAAGACGAGCCAAGAAGGCTCCAAGATTGTCAAAGAGGCGCCCAGGACAGCCCCAGACCACCCCAGAACAGGTCCAAAATGGGCCCAAGAGCGGGAGCAGGAGGTTTCAGAGACCTCCGAGAGGCCTCTGGGACCCCCCGAGGCCCCCAACACACCCCTGATCCTTGAGAGGACCCCAAAAAGACTCCAACGAGGCTCCAAGAGCTGCGAGAGCCGTCCCGAGAGAGCCCAAAGAGAGTAAAATCGTTGATTTCCCCTATCTTTTTTCTAATGTTTTTCGCCTTCTGACGTTTTCCCGCTTCCAACCCTCGAAGATCAAGGATTTCTGGGGGAAACAAATCCGAGAATGCCATCTCTTTTTTTCAAAGTGGGACTCCGACTCGGAGATCCCACACATCCCCTGACATCTGGCCGGTACCGCGCCTCCCGGCTTCCCGGGGGGCCCCCAAGACGCCCAAGGACAGCCCAAGACGACCCCAAGGAGGCCCCCAGAATGTAAAGAACGGCCCAACACGCTCCCGCGCAGCCCGAGACACCCTTCCGACGGCTCTCCAGGCATCCAGGAGGCCTCCACAACCCCCAGGGGGCCTGGAAGATCCCACACCCCTGAGGGACCCGGCTAACAAAACCCGCGAGGCACAAACAAAAAATAGCACCGAACAGCGCCGAGGAACTGGAACAAAAATGGGAATCCCACAATTCCTTTTTGTTTTCAAGTTTGGCCCCCGGTCTACTCTTGCACAACAGACCACACTTCAGACTCCCTCTCCTCCCGCAAAAAAAAACCGGAAGCCTTTGAGGGCCCAAAATCGTCGAATACCTAAAGGAGATAAATGATTTCTGCGTTTCCGCACTTCTCCTTCTATACGATTCCGAGGCTTGCGCAGGGCCTCCAAGGAAGTCCCTGGACGCAAGAAACGACCAACATGATATTACATGAGTTCGCCGATCAAGCCTAGCTAGAACTTGAGCGCGCGCGAAGCGCGCGCGATGGTTCTAGTATAGATGTGTATGTTTGTATGTATGTGCATATATATACACATCTGTGTAAATATATATATATATATATACATATATATATATATACATGTGTATATATATGTATATATGTATATAAATATCTATCTACGTGGCGTGGAAGCCCCGCCCCCGGGGGGCGGCTTGCAGGGCGCACGCGCCGCGCGGAGGGGGAGGGCCAGCGGCAGCGCTGTGGGGAGGGGGCGCGGGAGCAGAGGCTGCGGCGGTCGCCACGAGGGGGCTACGGGCAGGAGGTCGGGCCGAGGCGAGCAGGCTGCCACCCGCGCGGGAAGGATGCGCGGTTTTCCGAGGCTGGCATGCCCTCCTCCTCCTCCTCCTCCTCCTCCTCCACCTCCTCGCCCACGGGTGGGATCTGACGGGTGCACGCGCTCCCGCTCAGGCGCCATGTTGTTTCGCTTCCAGGGGCGGACGAAATTCTGGGCCTCCTAGATGGGGTCGGAGTAGATGGGGTCGGAGGATCGCGCCGCATCGCCGATGCATCGGCGATGCGGCGCGATGTGGGGCCCGATTTTCTCCGCGCCCACCTCGCCGATGCATCGCCGACGTCGCCAGTGCATGGCCGATGCGTCGCCGATGTGGCGCCATCCTCCGACCCCATTCACTCCTACCCCATTTAGGAGGCCTCTAGAAACGTGCCCCCCCCGGGCAAACCAAGGGCCCCCGGGGGCAGCGCTAGGGCGGAGGGGTCTCTGCTGCGTGCCTGTGGCAGAGATACCCTGGTTTAGGGCCCATGAATGTTGCCCTCGGAAGAGTCTTGTGTCCTCTCGCGTGTCCTCTCCGATTAAGCTCTGTGTTTTCTGCACACTCGGGATCCCCACGATTCGGAGGACGACAACGACGAGAACACAATGAGCGTGGCTCCCCAGGCGTCTGGACCTCGTCCCCGGGACCAGCTTCTCATCCCGAGCCGTGTTTTGATGGCCACAACAATCGAGAGCCCCTGGAGGCTGAGCATTGCCCCTCCAACCCCCCAAAAATGCGTCTGGTATCGCTCGGACGTGTGCACTTTTTCTCGGCGGGGATTATAAAGGAACATCTTGGATCATCCTGCGAAAAAACACTGACGAAACTGAACAAAAAGCACAGGGAATGGACGTCCGAGCGAGAAACGGCCTTGGGCGTTTACTAAACAGCCCTGCCCTGTTTAGTTCCCTCTTGGGGCGCGTTCGCCAAGCGGCTTCGCGTGTCGGGGTGGTTATGGTGGGGTGGCTTTTCTGCCCTCTATGGACAGAGAACGTCGGAGGTTGATAGACCTCCTACCCTCACACGTCGATTGGCGAATTGCCCCTTTTTCGGTTCGCGAGACGGCATCGCGGCCGTCATCTTTGCGGGTCCAGGTCCGTCGGTTTCGGTCCTGGGTTATTTTCACTCAAGGGAGGTTTACTAAAGGGAGGTTTGTCCACCGCCGAGAACGACGCCACTCCTTACGCAGGACGAAAGATGTTCGTCTTGACGTCGAAGAGGACCACCCCCGTCCCCCGAAATCGGATCCGCCGTAAAAAATAGGGTCCGACGCGTATCCCGAAAATCAGAGATGGAATCCGCGCGCACGGAAATGATGGGATGCGTCGCGATTTCACGATCACGGTAAGGTTGGAAATCGGATCCGTGCGACCCTCATTGGGTTCGCCGCTATGATTTCCCAGAGGGCCCGTGCACCGCGTGGGACCGTGAGATTCAGCGCCAAGAGGAAAACATGTTCGGCCTGGGAATGTCTGGCTTGTGCTCGTGACGGTGCCAGGCACATCGTGTCCTACGAGGACGACTTCGTTCACGTCGAGTACGGCGCCCTGGAGCCGCGGACCTTCCAGGCACCGGGCCCGGCCTCTCGTCGCGTCCGGCTGGCCTGGACGACGAGGTGGCAATTCTGCTGGGTTTACGTCGGGCCTGTCCCTCTACAGAAGGAGTAGTCAAAAATAGTCAAAAAATAGTATGGGGACTATTTTTTGATTTAGTTTTTGCTATTTTGGTGCATGTCTTGAGTATTTTTAACTTGTCACCCAAAATCTGCCCGTAGGGGGACAGGCTCGACCTAAACGTAAACTTTTTGCGCTCCGTGCGGGTTTCTTGGATCCGCGCCTGAGCCCCCCGGCGGCGCCTCCGGCGCCGCCCCTGGCGCGCTCCGCGCGCCCGGCGCGAATCCCAGAAATCCGCTCGGAGCGCCAAAAGTTTATGTTAATGATGTGGTTTGTTCTTCTTCTATGGTCCTCCTTTGCTGGCAAAGGCCATTGCGCCGGAGGAGGAGGAAGAGGAACTGGTACCCTTACCCCTCCCTCGCTCTCGCCTCTCTGGGCCTCTTGGGAGGCCGGCGTCGCCACGGCTGGCTTCGCCTCTAAATTCTGGCCAGAACGCACCCTGACAGAGGTATGGGGAGTAGCGGTATCGTTTTTTTTTTTCTCTTCCAGTTTCACCATTGCAGGGGCCATCTCGAACCGATCGATCCTATTCGATGTCGGTTCTGGCCAGACCGGAACTGATTCGATTCCGCTATTCCGAAGTTATGGTTACACGGCGCCGCTGTGCATCATGGCACAACCGACCCGATTCGATTATGGTTTCGATCTGATCCGATTTCTCGATTCGATGTTGATTGATTTTGCCATCGCAGATTCTCATTTCCCCCCCTTTCCTGCAACGAGCTGCGAGCTGCCTGGCCTCCTCTTGGTTCCGCAGAGTGGATTTCGTTCGGAAAACGATAGGATGGGCCCGGAGTGTCCTGGAGAATTTCCGAATTTCGATGTGAATTTCGCGTGGATTTCTTTTGGCCAGGAATGAAGCCTAAAACAAATCCACGCGAAATTCATTTCGTTTTTCACCCGCCGTTGCGGGGCTTTGCATTGGCAGAATTCCACGCAGAAATCCGCTGCAGCACGTCTGCAAGGTCGATGCAGTGAATAATCGAGTGCCCCAGAGAATAAATCATGCCCTCTGATGGGCCTGTTTTCCACCACGGCGGCCTCGCCTCACACGCCACGGGCGCCTGGCCTGTTGGGACTCTGCCGCACACCTGCCTTCACACGAGCGCAGGCGGGAGTGGGGAAAAGCGGGAGGAACCTCTTCTACATCGTTCTTGTGCATGTCGTGTTTGTAACCGGCGTGGCCTCCTCTGGCCGCCGCACACAAGGTGATAATCATGGAGTACTGCCCCGAAGGCGACCTCAAGGCGGCCGCCCTGCCGGGGGGGCGCAAATAGTAGTCGCCCGAGCATCGTCTCTGTACGATGGCTGGCTGTTGGATCCGCCTCCCCTTTTCCTGAGGTTCTGTAGTGGAAAAATCACAACGAAAGGTCTTTCCCACTGTTCGGTCCCTGGGGGCCCTAGCTAGATCCTGGGACAAGGACTCAGCATGAAAAATCACGACGCGGCGGATGTCTGGGTTTCCCCAAGATTCGTTCAGGTAATGCTACGATGAGGAAAACATTGCTCGGGAACGCTCCCAGAGCGTTACGAAGCGCCCTGGAACGGCCGCGGCGCCCGAGATGCACATTCTCTCGACACTTGCGAGTGCGCAGAGATACCGGATGTATCTTCACTCGATGTTGTCCTCACCCTGCTATTGTCTCCCCTTTCCCCGAAGGCTCTGCGAGCTGCTTCAGACACGAGTTGGACGGAATGAGGAGATAGGGAAAGGTAGTGCTACGACATCTCCTGCATGCAGCTGGTTTCTGCCCCGTCTCCGGGTCATTCTCCCCAATGCTTTTTGGAGGTGCCAGGAAGACCAGCCACGTGAGCTGATTTGCTGACCCATTTCTTTTGGGACCACTGAGAAGCCCTGGGGGGGGTCCCTCACGTAGCAGCGCCCCGGATCCGGGCTCCAGGCCTGCTCACTGGCGTCCTCGTCGTTGAGATTTTTGCTGCAGCCTTCTCCAGCACCATTCCCCAGCGGCCGATGACCGTTGCGGCGTGCGCTCGATGAGGCCCGCCCCTGTTCACAGGACACCACTTTGACCTCGTGGATCGCCTGGTCCAGGAGGGTCGCTGTGTGACCTCACTGCCGCCCTGCCGCGTTCGTCCTCTGCAGTGGTGCTCCGCTCCCTGCCCCTCCAAAAAAAAACACTTCCCCGGCGGCCGAGATTTCTTTCTGAAACGCCCCTGCCGCCCCCCAGGCCCGACAAGAGATCGCCTTTTGGGGCTCCGCGCTCCCTCCGCGGGCACGACGGCTGCGGCGGGCAGTGCTCGCCAACGGATGTCCGGCGAGGCCTCGCCGCGTGGCCGCCCGGGGCCGCCCATCGTCCGTGCGGTGGCCGGGCCCGGTGAGGTTCCGCCACGCCGCCGCCCGCGGCCGCCCCCCGTGCGCCGGGCCGGCTCGGCGAGGTGCCGCCACGCGGCCGCCCGCGGCCGCCTCGCGGCCGCCTCGTGGCCGCCGGGTGGGATCGGCGAGGTTTCCTCGCGGCTGGCCGCCCGTGGCTGGCCGCCTCGTGCGCGGGGCGGGTCTGGCGAGGTTTTTCCCCTCGGTGCCGGCCGTGGCCGCTTCGTGCGCCGAGTGGGTCTGGCGAGGTCGCGCCGCGTTGCCGCCCATGGCCGCCGTGGCAGCCGTGGTGGCCGCGTGCGTCGGGCTGATCAGGTGAGGTCCCACCATAGCAGTTCACACCACAGACCTTTGCCCACACAGCTTTCACCGCATAGCTGGCACCACACAGCTTGCACCGCACAGCATGCACCACGCAGATTGCACCGCACATCTTACACCACATCGCGTATACCGCATAGCTTGCGTCACATAGCTTAGACCACACAGCTTACGCGTCCGCAGCTCAATCACTTTATGATTTGGGTTTGCCAAGTTTAACACACACACACACACGCATACACATTCAGAACAGGCGCTCACATATGGGAATGCTCATCTATTGTATATATGTATACATGTATGTGTGTAAGTATGTATGCATGTTTGTAGGTATGTAGGTAGGTAGGTAGGTCGGTAGGTAGGTATGTAGGTAGGTAGGTATGTATGATTGTGTATGTGTGGATATGCATGCATGCATGCATGTATGCAGTATGCATGTGTATATGTATACGTATGTATGTATGTATGCATGTATGTGTGTATGTGTGTATGTATGTATGTATGTATGTATGTATGTATGCATGCATGCATGTATGTATGTATGTATATATGTATGTATGTATGTATGTATGCATGTATGTATGTACGTGTGTACGTATGTGCGTACGTATGTATGTATGTATGTATGCATGTATGTATGTATGCATGTATGTGTATGTATGCATGTATGTGTGTGTATGTATGTATGTATGTATGTGTGTTTGTATGTATGTATGTATGTATGTTTGTATGTATGTATGTATGTATGTATGTATGTATGTGTGTATGCATGTATGTATGTATATATGCATGCATGCATGCATGTATGTATGTATGTATGCATGTATATATGTATGTATGTATGTATGTACACACGTAAGTATGCATGTATGCATGTATGTACGTGTGTATGCATGTATGCATGTGTATAGCGATGTATGCTGGTACGTACGTGTGTTTGGATGTATGTACATGCGTACGTACGTAGGTATGCATGTATGCATGTATGTATATACTGAATTATACATGCATACACAGGTGTGTTCCCCTCTCCTCACCTGGCCCCGTTTCTGGGGAGTGGGGGCCAGGTAGGGGCGGGGGGCTCTTGTGCTTTCCTACCGACGTTCTCGGCGCTCCGCCGTGGGGCATTTGCGGCTTGCTCCTGGGAGCGGCTCCCACGGTCCGTGCCTTGGTCCGTGCCTTGGCGTCCCCCCCGAGGTTCCTGCAGTGCCAGCGCGACTCCACGAGCCCCCCGCGCCCACCCTTACACCCTCGCGCCGTGAAAAAGTCATGGCGGAAGGTTTCTGTCAGTCTTCGGCGTGTGGAGGCCGTCAAGCGACGATTCGGGAAGAAACTGGGAGGGGCTGCAGACTTTTGGGGGGCAACGTCTTGATTAAGATGCTTTGGCAAAAGGGCGCCTCCCCAGCCGCAGCTCCCGGGAGGCCTGGCGCCGATCGGAGAAATCCGCGCGCGGAGGGCCAAGAATGTCTGTCTGCGCCGTGGCTGTTGGCAGTCTAGATGAAGTGTTCGTCGCTGGTGTTTTGGCGGCCTTTTGCGAGCACTGCCCCGTGCGTCGTGGTGTCGGCGACCACCTGCGAACCTTACCCCCGCGTGTCCACTCGACGCTGGGGCCCCTGGACCCGCAGCTTCCGCACCTGCCGCGCGGAACGTGCCGCCGCGGTCTCCGCTGCGGCCTCGGCGGCGGCTGCCGCTGCGACCGCCGCGGCGGCCGCGGCCACGGGGCAGCCCTGGCGCAGGAGGTGCGGAAAGCGCAGGTCGAGGCGCATCGGACACCCCCGCGTGCGAGCGCTTGGTTTCACACGCCGCTTTCGTCCTGGGCCTTGGCCGGCTTTCCCCTTGATAGCGTTAGGTCGGGCCTGCCCTTCTACAGGAGGGATGTTCAGACACTGTCCAAAGGTAGTTGGTGGAAGATGTTTGAATATGTTTTGGCCACTTCTTCTGATGTTTTGAAGAGCTGTTCCGAATTGTTCGTCCAAAATCTCGCTGTAGGAGGAAATGCCCGACCGAATGATAGCGTTTCGCCAGAAGGGTCTAGTAGAGGGTGAAGGACAGAAACGTCCCACGGGGGGGGAGGACGGGGAACCCGGGACCGCCCCCCCGAGGTCTTTTTGGTCCGGAAGTTGTTTTGCCCGAGATTTCCTCACGACATAGGAACTAATCGTGCCCTCGGCTCAAGTTGAGGGTTTCTCCGAAGGGCTTAGGCGACCCGTCCTCCTCATGTCTCCTCCTCCTCCTCCTCTTCCTCCTCCTCCTCCTCCTCCTCCTCCTCCTCCTCCTCCTCCTCCTCCTCCTCCTCCTCCTCCTCCCCTCCTCCTCCTCCTCCTCCTCCTCCTCCTCCTCCTCCTCCTCCTCCTCCTCCTCCTCCTCCTCCTCCTCCTCGGGTCGCCTACGGCCCCGGGGGAAACCGTGCAGGCAGGCTACAGCTTTGGCCCAGGCAGCCACGATCCTCACCCAAGGTACGACGGTGCACGTGGCCACGCTTTGCTGCTATCACGGTGCCTTGCTGGGGTCACTCAGGACACTGACCTTCGGGGGCAGGGCTCGAGTGTGGCTGCCCGTCGCGGGCGCAGGAGAAGATCGAGGTGGACTTCAACAGCTTCACGGAGCAGTGGGTCCGAACCATCTTCGCGCAGCTCCTGCAGGATCGCCGCCCCCCTCCCCTTCCTCCCCCTCCTCCCCCCCGCCCTCGCTCTCTGCCCCGCCCTCCTATTCCTTCACCTCCTCCCCGTCCATGTCCCCATCCTCCTCCCCCCACCCGTCCTGGCTGTTAGCCTCCCTTCCCCCCCCCCCTGCTCCCCCCTTTCCACCTCCCCGTGCCCCCCCTGCTCCTCCCCGCCCTCCCGGTCTGCCCTTCCTGTTCCCCCCTACTCCTCCCCCTCCACCCTTCCACTTCTCCCCCTCGTCCACCACCCCGCCCTCCCTGCCTGCCCCGCCTTCTCCCCTCCCCTGGCACATCCCCCTCCTCTCCGCCTCCCAGCCCTTCTTTTCCTGCTCCTTTCTCTCCCCATGCTTCTCCCTCCACCTCTTCACGCCTCCACCCGACCTCCCTCCCTATCTAACCTCCCCTTCCCCCCCTTCTCCCCCTCCCCAGCGGCGCTACGGGGGGAGGGGGCTGCTGGCGCGGCGACTGCGCGTGCGGGCTGCGGTCGGCATGCGCGGTGTTGCGAACAGGTTGAACGGGGGGGGAAGCGAGGAGGAGCGGGGAGGGGGGAGGGGGGGCTGGACGGAGGAGCAAGGGGGGGGGGGGGGGGGGGGCTTGGAGCTGGCTGGGGGGCTGAGGTGGCCCAGCATTGGTTCTGGCCAGAAAGGGGGGGAGAACGGGCCCCCCTCGTCATCACGGCTGCACGCGGCCCCAAACAATTGCCATTTTCGACCCCAAGCGAGGTATGGTGAGCAAAGGTGTTTCCATTCCTCATGGCAGCTTTTTGGGGCCGATCCAGCTCAGACACCCGATGGGCTCGTGGCAGTGGAAGAGGAGGAAGTGCAGGCGGACGACGACGAGGGGCGAGGCGGAGAGGAGGAGCAGGGAGCAGGAGCAGGGGGAGAAGCCCGAGCACGGGCGACGAGGAGGGGAGCAGGGAGAAGGAGACGGCGTGTGCGAGGGAGACGAGGAGGAGGAGGAGGAGGAGGAGGAGGAGGAGGAGATGGCGGAGGAGGAGGAGGAGGACGACGACGACGAGGAAGAGGAGCACGGGGAAGCGGCTGAGGAGGGGGTTGTGGGTGTACACTGGGGCCGCGCATCAAGGCACTGGGTGCTTTTCGTCAGGTCACCTTGGGTTTCTTCGCTTCGCGCGCTGTGCGGTTACTTCTCGCGTCCGTTAAAGGGTTTGTTTGGCTGCCTCCAAGTCGCACCCCGCGCGCGGGTCTTCAGGGCTGGGTGTCTTGCGAGGGTATCTTGCGGCCGCGCCCGCATTGGATTGCGGGGGTTGGGGGCAGCTTCCTCGTCCCTTCGCCCCCTCATCCAGGTGCACTGCCGCCCTTCGCTCTTCCGTCTCTGCCCTCTCTTCCTCTCTTCTTTCTTCTCTGCGAACAGCCAGTGCTCCAACGTTCGTCACACTCCTCCCTCCCCATAAGCATATACCCCTTCCGTTTCGTGCCTCCCCTCTTTTCCCCCCCCCCGCTTCCCCCTCCTGGTTCATTACACGTGTCCTGCCTGCTCTACGCTCCAAATCCCGTCACGACGCAGATGCCCACCCCGAGGCAGTCCAGTACCTGCACAGCAAGAGCGTCATCCCACAGGAGGAACATCGACCCCCTGCCAATCTGACTTTTTGAGCCCCTCCCGCGGGCAGACGGCCTGTCGCTCATCTTGTTGGCACATGCAGCAGTAGTAGTTTTAAGTCGGGCCTGTCCCTCTACAGGAGGAATCTCAAACAATAGTTTAGAATACGTCCGCGGACGATTTTTTGGAATGAACATTTTGGAGTAGTTTGGGGTATTTTGTATTTTTCATCCAAAGTCCCCTCTGTAGGGGGACATGCCCGACCTAATAGTAGTGGTGGCTGTGCTACTCTGCACTAGTAGTGTCAGCACCACTACAGTGGTGTGAGTGGCCCGAGCAGTCTTGCACTGTCCCTGCGGTGCTTGGCATAAGAGGGGGTTCTGCGACGCGACCTCTCCGAGCGGCTGCTGCTCGTGTTGTTGCGGTGGCCGCCGCTCCGCGATCCCCCCCCCCGCGACCCGCCCACGACCCGTTCCACAGCTTACTTGCGATCCGTCGAAGCAGCACCAGTAGATACAGGGTTCATTTCGATTCCTCCGATTCGATTTCGATGGCTTCCGATTCCGATTCGATTCGACTTGGGATTCCGATTTGGGTTCCGATTTCTCATCGGCGGCATGCTAGCTTTCCGATTGCCGCCGATTCGACTTTTCCCGACTCGGCTGTCGATTCCCGCCGATCCGATTATTTTCGATGGCCGATCCGACTTGTCGACTCGATTCTGGGCTTTCCTGGCGGACACGGCAGACTCGTGCTGTGTCGGCACAGCGGCCACCCCAGGGCGGGCATTCAGGGTTGGACGCCGCCAGCGGCCCACTGCCGGCCGACGTCGGATGATCTACGCCATCGGGGAGCCGCGGTCGTTCGAGGCTGAACGATCCACGCGTTGTCAGGAAGCAGCGTCAGGGTCGTCACGACACGAACCAGCCGTACTTGGATCACCACATGGGTTGCTGAAGGGATAGAAGGGTTATGAGTGCATGCTCAGTTGGGCAGCGTTTTGGTGGGTCACAGGTTCCCCGAGTGGCTGGGGGGTGGGTTGGAGATCTGGACCGAGTGGGCTCCGTCCACTTACCGGAATGATCTAGCACCCCTAGAGCTGCCCAGGGCACAGGCAGCCCATTTCGAAGCTAGACCAAGCCGGGTAGAATCACACTCAGCATGCATTCGGCAACCCCCGCGGTGACCAAAGCAGGAGGGGACGGGAGTGGTGGTAGACCAGAGAGAACGGGTGCAACCCGCAGGGGCGCGGGTCGGGAGCTCTGAGACGGGGGTCAACGCAGGGGGGGTCAGCCAGAGCACCGGATCTTGCAGGATCCTGCAGAGCCAGGGGTGCATTGACCTGGGCTTACGTGCAGGATCTTGCGGGATCTTGCAAAGCCTGACTGACCCGGGTTTGCACTGACCCGTGTCTGTACCGATCGGTGACTTCGACACGGGGCCTTGTCAGCTCGAGGGACTCCCAATGTTCGGTATTCGATCATGGACCCCTCGTTGAACGCAGCCGTCCAGCTCTCGCGCCGAGGGCCGCTGGAAACTGCGCAACGTCCGCCGCAGACTGCCCGAGGGGTGACGCAAGGGGGTCCATGGTCGAGCACGTAGCAACTGGGCATCGCTCGGACGTGTGCATTCTTTCCCAGCGGGAGCCATCGAGGACCATCCTGGACCCTCGAGCCAACAAAAAACACGCACGAAGCCGAAAACGTTGCACGGGAGATGGGCGTCCGAGCGACGGCAAGACAAGTGGCCACCGCATCCTGGGCCCAGGATCGGTACACGTGCCCTTCTGGCCAAGCGGGGAGGGCGTGTGTGCACCGACCCCGGGCCCAGGACGGGCGCGGCCAGGATCGGCGAGGTCGCTCTCTGTAGATCGGAGGTCGATAGACCTCCTACCCTGACACGTCGATTAGCGAATTGGCCGTTGTCGGTTCGCGAGAGGGCGTCGCGGCCGTCATTTTTGCGGGTCCAGGTCCGTCGGTTTCGGTCCTGGGCCGTTTTCACTAAAGGGAGGTTTATGTCAAGGGAGGTGTGTCCACTGCCGAGTAGAGGTCTGGACCCTTTTCTGGGGGACCGGCTTTCCGTCCATGCAGTCGAAGTCGATGAGAAGAATGGGTCACTTTCCCAGGGTGCTTTTGCCTTCTTGCCTCTTCGGACCATCCTGAGCCACTTTCGATGGCCGGTCCCGCTCGAGGAGCTTCGGAATGGGCGCACAGGGAGCTTTTGGCTCCCTACCGCGCAGCCGTACTGTCCGTTCTGACTGCAGTGGACCTGTTTGCGGTCCAGGGGCCAGGCAATAGGTTTAAGTCTGGCCTGTCCCTCTACAGGAGGAATATTCAAAAATTGTTTCAAAGATTGTCTGGGGACGATCTGTTGCATGTTTTTTTTGTGACTATTTGGGGATCTGTTTTGACTATTCTCCCTTTTTTGGTCGAAATCCTCCTGCAGGGGGACATGCCCAGGTTCCGCGGGGGGCCGAGCGCGTCGGGGCTCGGGGGGCGGGGGGGAAAGTGTGCCCCGGGACCCGTCCCATGGGTGCGCCGAGGCCAGCCCCTCGAGGCGGAGGGTCCCGCCGCGGCGACGACGGCCCCCCCGGAGGCCCCATGGGGAGCAGCAGGGCGCGCCCGAGCTCGGCCCCCTCGAGCCTCGCGGGGGTCCCTTGGCATCGCTCGGACGTGTGCATCTTTCCTTCGGCGAGGACCATCGAGGAGCATCCTTGATCACTTGGCGAAAAAGCCACGCACGAAACCGAAAAAAACACAGGAAATAGACGTCCGAGCGATGGCCAGGTCCGGGCTCGTCCAGTTTGGCGGGGGGTCGCTGCTCCCGCCCTGTGGAGCGTCCACCGGGACCTCAAGTCGCAGAACGTCTTCCTGGCGGAAGACGGGCCCTCGCCCGCCCCCCCCCCGCCGCGCGCGCGACGAAGCAGGAGAGGGGCACTGGGCGAGGCGGGGCGCGCGCGGGGCGGGCTGCGGATCTGGCGGACGGAGATGGGCACGGAAGGGCGAGGACCGTCTCGGAGGGGGAGGGTCATGACAAGATCAGGATGGAACGAGAGAGTCGTGGCAAGATCATGAGGGGTGTCGAGATGGGTTCGGGATGGTAGGATCACGGCACCGTCACGATGAAAGGTTTTCGTTAACCTCTTGGGACCCTCGTTGGGCTTCGGGTTCGTCAAACAGAAACGATTCGGGATGACAAACCGGTCCAGGGGGAACGGGCCGCCGAGACCACTGCGGGTCGACGCTATGAACAAATCGTGACGTCGGGGGTCTTGGGGCGAAGGCCGACAGCAGCTCTTGTCCATGTGGCCGTTCTTGTCCAGGTGGCACTTCGGATGCAACTCCTGGGAGGTCAAATTCAGATTTTGCCCTGATCCGAAATCTGGCTGAATCGGGCCTACGTAATCCCGGTCAATCCTGTGGAATGCCGCCTTCTCCAGCCCAATCCCGCTGAATCCGAGGCCCACTCCTCCGTAACAGCCCCCCAGTGAGGCTTCGCCCTCCCCTAATCCTTCCGACGGAGACCTCCCAGTAGGAGACTGTTTTTCTTTAGGGTCCGGCGAGAACCTGGGTTTATCGGGCTTGCCCCCCCCCCTCCCCCCTCCTCCCCTGGATAACCTAACCTTGCCGGTTGTGCAGGTCCGGGGGGGGGGGGGGCGCGGGCATGTGCAGGGCCACAGCGCGAGGGTTAGGTTGTCGGCCGGCCCCCTCCTCCCCTCGCGCCCCCCCGGATCACCCGGGCTATCGCCGATTCACAAAAAAACGGTTTCCAGGATCGGGGGAGCGTAAGACCCGGGTTTGCCGGGACTCGGGTTCGCAATCGTTTTTTGACGACCGCGACTCGGATTTTGACGAGGAGGAGTTTTGTGGGATGTCTGCAGCGGGAGGCCTCGTCAAAATGCAGGCTCGGCCTCGTCATTTTTTTGACGACCTCGTCGGGGATTTCCGAGTCCCCCGTACCCGGGTCTTACGTCTCCCCGACAGGAGTCACTGCCGGTGTTGCCGCCTGCGCTGCCCCCTTTGAGGCAGGGAGGCGCCCGCCCGGCCGGTGGCCGCTGCCGGATGTGGACATCGTAGTTGCGGCGGGGCCTGTGTCCGTGCCCCTTTGTCGGGCGCGCCGGAGGGACCTCCTCCTCCTCCTCCTCTTCCTCCTCTTCTCCCTCTTCTCCCACCTCCTCCTCCTCCTCCTCCTCCTCCCTCTTGTCCCTCCTCCTCCTCCTCCTCCTCCTCCTCCCTCTTGAGGTGGCTCCCCAGTGAGGCCCCGCCCCGCCCCCGCGCAGCTGTTTTGCCCGCGGGCGGCGCCGCGGGGCCCGCGCGATCGGAAGCCCCCAGGCCCACGGAGGGCCGACGCGGCCTGAAGAGGCCACCCTCTCCCGCCTGGCACAGGCGCCTCAGGCGCGCAAGAGGAGAGGCCGGCAGGTGGCTGAAGATTGAGAGGGCGAGACAACTGCTGGAAGTACACCACGGCAGCATGCCGCCCGCCAAGCAGGACGACGACTGGAGCAGCTGCAAACGATGCCACAAGTGGTATTGGCACAAGCAGCTGTACGAGAACGACTTCTGGCGCGACTGTGGCTGCCGCGTCGCCCGCCCAAAGAGTTGGAAATAACACGGCGCAGAGCGAGGCGATAGCGGCAGCAGCAGCAGCAGCTACAACAGCAGCAGCTACGGCAGTTATGATAAGGCCAAAGGAAAATCAAGACCCATTGGCATCTGAACAAGGACATGGACCAGCTATTCACCGCGCTGAAGACGGTCTCGAGCACGCTTGGCGCCATGAAGAGCGGCGCACCAGACAAGGACGGCATAGTCAAGCAGTTGGAGGGTGCGACTAAGGAGTTCCAACGCGATGCAGAGCTGAACAGAAAAAAACCATCCAAGGCAAGGGCGCTGAGACTTGCTGAGGCGGCGAAGTCCCTGGAATAGTACAACAAGCTCTACAACTGGGCCTTCGAAGCGAAGAAGCAGGCCGACGCCAAGGCGAAGAAGGCAAACGAGACGCTCAACCTGAGGGCCGATGAAGTCCTGAAGGCGGAGCAGCTCATCGAGGACATTCACGCGGAGGGCAAAGAGAAGTGCAACAGGAGCATCTTCGACGCCATTCTCGAAGCAGACACGGAGATCGCGCGCCCGACCGAGCTGGAGTTCGCAGAGCTGGAAGAGCATGTCAAATGCGACGAAGATATGGACGCAGAGGGACGTACGGCGGTGGACAACGCAAAGGAACAAGTGGTTGAAGAGCTCAAGAGGACGGCACGCACCTTCAAAGGCCAACGAGTAGAGCACCTGCAACATGCAAAAGCAAAGGCAGAGGAGAACCGGGCGGTCATCACGCAGGCGTACAAGAAGATAAAGGCATATCAAGAAGTAAAAACCTAGAAGGAGATGGACGCGACAGACGGATCGACATCGGCGGCATCAGCAGCACCGCCGAAGGCGGCGTCTGCAGCGAGCGCACGCGTCGAGATCGACGTCGACGAGAGCGGCAACATGAGCGAGGCGGAGGAGTTTCTCGAGCGCCGCAGGTCAGCGGCTGCAGTGAAGGGCGAGGCGGCCCCTCCTGACGACCGCTAGGAAATGCAGCGGGGGGGGCAGGCGACCAGTTGGCGACGCCGAGCCCCATGGACCGCGCCATCTTTTTCTCTAGCAGCACTACATGGGGACCCAAGGAGGCGAGCTGGATGCCACGCGATGGACTACGTGAAGGGCACGACGTCTACGCGCTGCAGGAGACGCACATCCCTCGGGCAAAGATAGATCCCGTGGAACGAGACTTGCAGAAGGCGGGCTTCGCAAGCACCTTCCACCACCCACCCCGACCGAAACCAAAAGCAAGAGCCAAGCACAAGAATAAGGCGAAACGACGACGAAGAGCAAGTGAAGACCAAGCTACACACGTAACGACACCACCAGAATACAACGCTGACGCAACGATCGACGAAGCCGACAACCTACGACGGGAAACGCTTCGACCGTTGGGGTGGGCGACTGCACCAGCCAGCGACCCCGAAGCATACCCGACAAACTACATGGACGAAACAGACCACGACCCGTTCACAGACATCCGCGACCACTGGAGTGGCGTGCATTACAGGGCGTGGATACTGGTGGACAGGAGTCGGCAGGATTCGAGTCAGAACGGCCACAAGTCGCCCTTGGTTATTGCTGGGCCCCTCAGGCGACAGGTCAGCCACGCGGATGCCTGTTCTAGCGCGAGCCCGCGTCGCCAAAGATTGTCCCTGGACTCGCCCCGGAGTCAGAGCGGCCGCGCGGGTGCTCCTCGAGCCCGCGCGAGCACACGTCGGCACCCAGTTTTGCTGGACATCGAGCAGTTCGGAAGGATTCGCCTCAGGACATGCAAGATTGCGGACCACTGACGGACGAGACCCTCCCGGGCGCCCAAGGTGCCCACATCATTGGAGCACTCGAGAAGTTCTACGGCATGGCGTATACAGTGGCACCCTCATACAGACCTACATTCTGCGGACGAGGTCACCCATGCAACCGCGAGGAGTAGGGGCTTACACATAAGGGGGGCCGCCGTCGCAGGTACGCGTCGCACAGAACGGATTGGTGGAATAGAACGCACGCAGAACTCCATCCTTGGTTAAGCTTCGCGGAAGAAATCACGGACTACAGCAACAGCACGATCTCAACATCGCAGGCAAGCGTCGCGCTCGCGAAGGCCTTCCACCTGCAGGACCCCCGGCGACGACTACAGCACGACTCCAAAGAGAACTTTGGAATGCCAGAATGGAGAAGCTGGACACCATCCCGCTGGACACCCTTAAGGGAATGGCAGAGCAAGCGGGTCAAGATGTGCAAATCAGGCAGATGAGCATAAAGTGCCAGCGCGACAAGCAGAAACACCACAACGCCAAGAAGTTCGAGAACACGGAGGAGAGCTACGCTACTGCCGACGCCCTTGGAAGGCATATCGCGCGGGTTGCTCGGGGGGCCCCCCCCCGCGGGGGCCGCGCGGGGCGCGGGGGATCTCGGTGTCGGAAAGAGCGCGCCGCGAAGGACATGCTCGACATGCTTGCTCCAAGCGCCTCCGCAGGACGCGATTGGAGGGGGGGGTGGGCTCCGGGGCCGCGACCCCCAGCGCGCAGGGCAGCACTGCCAAAGTACAAAGAGCCACATCGTCGAGAGGGACGCCGCCGTCACAGGGCACATGCAAAGAAGACAGGAGCGACCCGAGGAACCAACACATGAAGCCAACGAACAACGGAACAAGTATTTCGTTGAACGTTCGCGGGCGTGTTTGGGCATTTTCTTGTTATTCTTCGTCCAGGCTCCGCCCGTAGGGGGACGTGCCCAACGTAAGTCTGGCGCGTCGGCGCCAGCTCCCACGGAGCGGCGGGGCAGGGCGCCCCCGACGAGCGTGGGGCCGGGGGCCGCCCGACCTGGCGATGGGCGCGCGCCGGCTCCTGCGCGGGAGCGGGACCGGGCGCCCATCCACGCGCCGATCGCGACGAGAGGTACGTTCCTCTCGGGGGTGGACCGAACCCCCAACAGTGACACGTCGATTAGTGAGTTGTCCGTTTTCGGTTCTCGAGAGGGCGCCGCGGCCGTCATTTTCCAGGCTTGCGCCCGCCAGGTTTGGGCCCGAGGTCGTTTTCACAAAACCACATTTTACTAAAGGGAGGTCTGTCCATCCCCGATCCTCAAGGAGTGGCGAAGCGTCTTGGCTCGCCTAGAGGCCCACCGAGTAATGTTCTAAGGACCTTTTGTGGTCTGCGCGAGGTGTTCTCGGAACAGTTATTCTGGCTGGGATTGCCCTGTTTTAGCGCATCGGGGTACTGTTATGAGAACACTGCTTGCGTTAGAACATCTTCGGGTTCTGAGAACATGTTGTGGGAGGCCCACAGGAATGCTGGGACGGCCAGTCTCTGCTCGAGAGGCCCGTTCCACGCAGCGGGTCGAGCTTTCCGGGGCCGCGGGGGAGTCACGGCGCTGGGGGCCTGAGAAGCTCAGTATATATCGTTGAACCGATCCCCCTCCTCATCTCGAGCCCCGCGGCCTCACCGCCCCAGTTGGGGATGTGCCCCTCGACGCCCGAAGAGAGCAGCCTGCATCCCCATCCAGGGGGGCGAATCGGCCAGCGGGGCCCCGCCCACGCTGGTGGGGATGAGGGGGTCGGTGATACAGATGCTCACAGTGGGCGGCGCGCCCAAGGGGGGAAGTGGGAAGGGGCGGGCCCTCCCAGAAGGCGGCGGGGTTTCCCGAGAGCCCTTCGCGCAGCCCGAGGAGGTCTCCGCGTCTTCGGGGGGGCCTCCCGAGCGTTCCGGGAAGGCTTGCCCGCCGACCACTAGCAAAAACCATCCCCGTCCGTGACGTCCCCCTCGCCTCGCCCCGAAGACGCATGTCTGTGACCGGAGGGCAGCTTGGAACGGCGAGGGTGACGTGACGGAAGGGGGTGGTTTTTGTTACAGTCAACTCTTGTATTCAGGATGGGTAACCTTCCCAAGGGTACCCTTGCATCCCTGCCTCCTCTGTGCGTCCTTGGCCACTTCCGTTGGCCGCGCCCCGCTCGAAAAGCTTCGAAATGGGCCTCCAAGGCACTTGCATCCTTACCGCGCGTCCTTACCATACGGGTTGACTCTAGGGGTCGACCAGGCCGCGTCCGAAGCCTTCCCCTCTGGGGGCGCGCCGCCGACGCCGCTTCTCGCGCCTGCGCCGCCTCGGCGCGAGGGCCACGCGGCCGCCCCCCGGCCGCGGCCCGCCAGGCACGTGCGCCTCGGCGACTTCGGCCTCTGCCGGCGCACGCCCGGCCAGGTGCTGGGGCAGGCGCCGTCGGCGGCCTCGGCCGCCTGCCTGCACGCCTCGGGGCGAGCCCCGGCAGGAGGGCGGAGGGATCTGCGGTCAGCCTGCGCAGAGGAAGGGTGAGGAGTCGAGGAGCGTTCCAGGGCGACCCTCGCAGGCGTCCCCTTCGGTCCGTCCTTGGCCGCTTTCCCTGGCCGCGCCCCGCTCGCAGAGTGTCGACATGGCCTTCCAAGGCCCTTGCATCCTCATCGTGCGCCAGCGCGGGTGTTCCAGGTTGAACGCCGCCAGTGGCCCAGAACCGGCCAAGTATGGAACGACCTGGGCGACGCAAGAAAACGGTGTCGTCTGCGCCGACACTGGCGCGTAAGTTGGCGTAAAGTCGCGCGTAGGCGCCCTCGTTTCCAATGTGGCGCGCCGCGCTGGTGGCCCGCGCAAGCTGCGGCGCAAGGTCGCTGTGCCATCTCGCGTAAGACCCGTTCTTGATCATCGCTCGCCTGGCGATTTAACAGCAACCGATCGTTCCAAGGCTTCTGATGTTCCAACCGACTTTCTAGCCTTGACCACCAGAAAGAAATTCGCGCACCAAGAAAGTACCGAAACTTGAGGGTTTTCACGTGTCGAGCCCTGGGAGGCGATACTCGTTCGACATTGTTTCGATATTCTTCTGGGTGCTCGAAATTATTTGTTTGTGCTGTGGTCCTTCTCGATGGGGTCGGAGTAGATGGGGTCGGAGGATCGCGCCGCATCGCCGATGACTCGCCGATACGCGTAGCCGCCTCCGGCGCCGGGAGAGGCGGCGGAGAAGTCGGCTCTACGTGAGCTGATTCTCCCCCCCCCCCCTTGCTGTCCTTGAAACAGATGAGAGAAGGACGATCAAAGTGGGAACGACGACAGTGACGGCAAAGACCTGTAAGTGCCACCCCACTCGAGTGTGCGCCGACCCCTACAGGATCGTCTTTCAGGAGGGGAAAAACACACACACAGACACAATGAATCGTCGACTCCCCAGAAAATATAGGAAAAGATGGGAGGTGGGGGGGAAGACGAAAACCCAAAAAATATGGGAAAACATGGGGAATCTGTTTATTTGTGTGTATTTATTTGTGTGTCCTGGGGCCCCTTCAGTCTTGAGCGCCCGGCCCGACCCTCGCCGGGGCCGGGGGCCGCCCCGGCCTTTGCGCGCGGGGGGCCCCGCGGCGGAGAGGCCACGATGTCGCACGCGGGCACCGACTGCTACATGGCGCCCGAGTGCCTGGCCTCGTCCAAGTACGGGAAGCCCGCGGACATGTGGTCCGTGCCGTCGGGGGGCGTCCCTTTGGCGGCGCGCACAAGGGGAGGGGGGGGGAGGGGGGAGGGCTTCTTGGAAGCAGGCTGCTTCTTAGGAGGCGCCGGCCTTACATCTACAGATAGGGCCCGCGCCTGCTAAGGAGCGGGGGTGCTTCTAAGAAGCCTTCCACCCTCCTACCCCCCTCTGCGCGCCGCCAAGTCCCGCCCGTGCTCGTCGGGACTCTCAGGAGGGAAAAAAAGCACAGAGACACAATGAAGCGCCGATTCCTCAGAGAAGATGGGAAAATGTGGGAAGTGGGGGGGGGGGGGAGACAAAGACCCAGAAGACGTGGGAAAGTATGGGGGAGTCCTGGTAGTCGTGTCTACTTGTTTGTGTGTCCCCCCCTCGCTCTTAACTGGACGAGGCCCGCTCTCGACCCGCAGACCGAAAAGTTTGTGTGTCCCGGGGCCCCTTCAGGCTCGGCCTTCGCACCTCCATGGGGCGTTCCAGCTGCTGCGCCTCGCCGGGGGCGCTCCCGGGGGGGTGCCCGAGAGTGGTCCTCCTCGGCCGCGGGGGGCCCGAGTGGTGGGCCGAGAGCCAGGCTTCAGTCGGACCTGTCCCTCTACAGGAGGAATGTTCAAAAACAGTCAAAACATAGTCTGGGGACGATTTTTTGTGGCTCTTTCGATCATGTGGGAGTAGTTTGAGACTATGCTTTTTTCCGTCCAAAATCCCCCTGTTGGAGGACATGCCCGACCTAAAGCCAGGCCTCGTCGCGTCGCACAGAGATTACGACGGCAGGTTTTCATGTTCCGGGGGCCCCTCAATGGGCCTCAGGGCCGTCGAGCAAATGACCCCCGGAAAAGGGGTCCAGACCTCTGAGGAACCACATTACACGCCGGTCGTTGAAAGTAGGTATTTTTTGTATCCTATATCCCAATCTTTTTCAAGCGCCTTCCTACTTCAAGAATCGACATGCTTTCGCTGTGTTTTGTTATTCTCTGGGTGGACCTGGACCCAATCCACTATATCCGCCTTCGTATTTCATGTTTCTACCTACTTATTCCGACCGACGTATACGAAACCAACCCTGCGTCGAATGTCTGGGCCAGGGCAGGTGGGGTCGGAGGATCGCGCGCATCGCAGATGCATCTGCGACGCGTGCGCGATCTGGAGTGCGATCTTCTCCGTCCCGACGTCGCCGGTGCATTTGCGAGGCGTCGTCACCCTCCGAACCTGTTTGCTCTGGCCCCCCCTGGAGGGCCTCCAGCAGCTGACGGAAGGAGGGGATGATAAAGTATGGTGCGTCATCCAGTGCGCTACCGCGCGTGCAGTCAAGATGCTGAAGGCAGGACCCTTTGGGTTTTAGCAGGGGCCCTGGCTTCCGGGCCGCTCCTGAGATCGGAGCCGAGGAGCTTCTCCGTGGCCACTGCTGGCAGTGGCCAGAGCAGCCCTTTGCGCTCCTCGGGCAGCGCCTCTTCGCGGCAGCACGGTGCCCGGCTCCACCGCCGCGCCTGCTGGGAGGGGGACGAGCGGGGGGGGCAGGCTCTCCGGCGGGGGACGGGCCTGGCGACGCCCTGCCTCTGAGTTCATGCACGGTCCAGACGCTGAGAGATGGACCGCTCCTGGATCCCGAGGGGCTCTGTTCTTCGGGCCAGTCCTTAGCTTCGGGCCTGTCCCTCTACAGGAGGGCAATTGAAGACTAGTCTATAGCAATTCGTTGGGGGACGGGTCTTTTTCGAGTATGTTTGAATTTGGTTGGTCTGTTTTTCATGTTTCGTCCAAGGTCCGCCTGTAGGAGGACATGCCCGACCTAAGTGCACGGTTAAGACGCTCAAAGACGGACCATTCTCGGAGTCGATAAACCTCCTACCCTGACACGCCGATTAGCGAAGTGGCCGTTTTCGGTTCGCGAGGGGGGCGTCGCGGCCGTCATTTTTGCCGGTCCAGGTCCGTCGGTTTCGGTCCTGGGCTGTTTTCTCTGCAGGGTGGTTTAGTAAAGAGGGAGGCCTGTCAACCCACAGGTCCGATGTCGTGACTTTTTCAGCACGGGGCCCCTGGAGGTCCCGACCCCTCCCCCGGAACCGGTTTCTCATCCCGAGACGTCGTTTTTGGACGGCCCCGTGGCCCGGCGAGGGCCCCTATAGAGGCCGCGGCGGGCGAAACACATCCGTCTTCATTCTCTCCATGCGTGGGATCTCTGGGAGCCGCAGGCCCTCCGAGCGCTCCAGCGGGGCTCGGTGTTTTTTCTTGTTGGTACCTGGCATTGCTCGGACGTGTGCTTTGTTTCTTCGGCGAGGACCATCGAGGAGCCTCCTTGACCATTTGGCGAAAAAACTACGCGCGAAACCGAAACGAACACAGGGAATGGACGTCCGAGCGATGGCGAGGGTAGGCCAGCGCCTATATGGCGCGTGGGGTCGCGGAGCCGGTTCGTGGCCGAGGCCCGCCCGTGGCCCGGAAAAGAGAGGGCCCCGCCGCGCGCCGGGCTCGGAGAGCTTCCCCGCGGCAGCGCGGAGGCGGGCGCGTCACCTCCACAGGGGGGAGACAGCCAAGGTGGTCGAAGAAATATTCAGGGGGCGATCTGTGGGTTATGTTTCGCTACAGGGGGAATGCTCCAAGACAGTCGAAGCATGGTCTGGGGGCGCATTCGTGGATGAGTTGTCGGGGGTGTATTCTGTTGAAGCATTCCTTACGCTTGCTCTCTGGGAACCGCCCGACATTCCGGACGCTCCAGCGGGGCTCGGTGTTTTTTGTTTTGCAGGCAGGCGCTTATATGTATATATATACATATATACACATGTATGTATGCATGTGTGTATGTATGTATGTAATGTAATGTAATGTAATGCAATGTAATGTAATGTACTGTAATGCAGTGTATTGTAATGTAATGGAATGAAAGGTAATGCAATGCAATGTAATGTGTGTATGTAATGGAATGTAATGTATGTATGCATGTATGTACGTATGTATGTATGCATGTCTGTCTGTATGTATGTATGTATGTTTGTATGTGTGTGCGTACGTATGTATGCATGTATGTATACATGTATGTGTGTATGCATGTATGTATGTATGTATGTATGTATGTATGTATGTATGTGTGTGTATGTATGTAATGTATGTAATGTATGTAATGTATGTAATGTATGCAGTGTATGTAATGTCTGTAATGTATGTCTCTCTGTCTGTCAGTCTGTCTGTCTGTCTGTCTGTCTATGTGTATGTGTGTATGTTTGTATGTATGTATGTATGCATGTCTGTATGTATGTATGTAATGAATTAACTAATGTAATGTATGTAATGTATGTATTGTGTATATATATGTATTTATATATATATATGTATATATAAATGTATATATATAGCGCGTGGGGTCGCGGAGCCGGTTCGTGGCCGAGGCCCGCCCGTGGCCCGGAAAAGAGAGGGCCCCGCCGCGCGCCGGGCTCGGAGAGCTGCCCCGCGGCGGCGCGGAGGCGGGCGCGGCCCCTGCACAGGGGGGAGGAAGAACAGCCAAGGCGCTGAGATAACGACGGACGACCAACACACACACACACTCACACACCCATATCGGGGGAGCGTAAGACCCGGGTTTGCCAGGACTCGGGTTCGCCATCGTTTGTTGACGACCGCGCCTAGGATTTTGACGAGGAGGAGTTTCGTGGGATGTCTGCAGCGGGAGGCCTCGTCAAAATGCAGGCTCGGTATCGTCATTTTTGTTGACGACCTCGTCGGGGATTTCCGAGTCCCCCGTACCCGGGTCTTACGTCTCCCCGAAACACACACACATACCCATAGGCCTGGCATCGCTCGGGCGTGTGCATTTTTTCTCGGCGAGAACCATTGAGGACGATCCTGGACGATCGAGCAAAAAAAAAAACACGCACGGAACCGAAAAATGCACGGAAAATGGCCGTCCGAGCGATGGCGAGTAGGGGGGTCGTTGGGAGGAGGGCTGGCTATGGGTATGGATGCGGGTTGTCGGACCCTGGGGGACGCTCCCGTTCGAGCGGGGACACCCTGCCGACAACACGCACCCATAGCCCTCTCCGACCCCCCTATGGCTATGGGTGTGTGTTGTTGGTTCGTCAGACAAGGAGCACTTTGGGCAAGAAAAGGGCTCGATATTCCTTGGGTCCTTCTACGGCTTTTCCTCCAGCCTTCCTCGTGCACGCAGGCGCGTGTGGGGCCAAAGAGGGGCTTCGTGCCTTGTTTATCGTTCCTTCTCTCAGCAGCCCGACTGTATTCCAAAGATAGTCCAAAAATAGTCTGGGGGCGAATATGTTGATTGCTTTTTTGGGGTATTTTGTCGAAGCAGTTGTTTCGGCTACGTTTTAGTTTTCGTCCAAAGCCCGCCTGTATCGGGCTGGGCGAAAGGGGGGGATTGGGAAAGGGGGGGGTACGAAATTTGCTGCATGCAGCTGGTTTCGGCCCCACCGAGGGGCCCATTCCTCGATACATAGACGCCTCCGGCGCCGGGAGGCGCCGGGAAAATCGGCTACGTGAGCCGATTCTCACCCCCCCCCTTTGCTATCCCCCTTTCGCCCGACCCGACTGTAGGCCTACGAGGACGCGCCCGGCCCAGTGGCAGCGCGAGGGCTGCCACTCCCGGGAGGGCGAAGGCTGCAGGGGGCCCGGCACCCGCGCGGCCGCATGCAGGGGCTCGCTGCGCAGCGGGCCCCCGGGCAGGCCCGGGCTCCTCCTCCTCCTCCTCCTCCTCTTCCTCCTCCTCCTCCTCCTCCTCCTCCTCCTCCTCCTCCTCCTCCTCCTCCTCCTCCTCCTCCTCCTCCCGAGAGGCGCCCGAGAGGAGGACGAGGCTCAAGTCGGGCCTGTCCCTCTGCAGGGGGACCATTCGAAGACAGTCGAAAAACAGGGCGGGGACGGCTTCCTTTTGCTGTGCCTCTTGGGGGGAGGGCACCCTCGAATGCTCCCCATGCTGGCCGGCGGAGGTTCTCATGTTCTTCTGGCCTGGGTCCGACTGCATCAGGGGCAACGATAGGGGGGGTAGGCATAGGGGGGGATGCATCGACCCCCAATCGCCCATTGAGCGCCGATAGGGGCCCCATAGCCCCAACCTGCCCAGGAAGGTGCGGATCCACTATCGGAGGCCTATCGCCGATCTATCGGCGACGTATCGCCGATTCTTGGTCGATGTTTCTCCCCCTATCCCTATCCCTCCCTATCGTTGCCCCTCAGAGCTCTTCGGTCGGGCGTGTCCCTCTACAGGAGGAATATTCAAAGATAGTAAAGAATAATAGGGGGGACGTTTTTTTAAAAATTATTTTCGAATGTGTTCAAATATTTTCGGTGTATTCATTTATTTTTCGCCCAAGGTCCGCCTGTAGTAGTAGGTTCCAGACGTACTCTTCGGTCGGGCATGTCCCCTTATAAGGGGATTTTGAACGAAAAATTAAAAGTACCCCAAACATATTCCGAAGTAGCCAAGACATGCGCAAACAATGGTCCCCATGCGATTTGCGGATCATTTTTGAGTATTCTTCGTGTGGAGGGACAGGCCGACTTAAACGTTGTCCTGCTTTTTTGCATTTTGCTTACAGTCGGACCGAGGTGTGAGATCGAGGTCGGTACGAGGAGGGTACCCCCCAGTGTTCTTTGTGTTTGTCAGATGGATGCTGTTGTGCGTCCTGGGGAGGGCACCCTTGGATGTTCTGTGTCTTTTGGCCGGTGGAGGGTCTCATGTTCTTGGAGGATGTTCCTCTGGCCTAGGCCCGACTGCAGATTGTTATGTGGGGCACGTGTTGACGACACCACCGCCCAATTCGACAATGCTAAATGTATGTTTTCGCTGGCGAGCAGTTACTGTGCCAGTACCTTGCCAAATCTCGATCGATAGCGCACCGAGGGCACTCAGGGATTCGCCAAAGGCGCCGTCGCCAAAATAAAGAGCACCATATTCAATATTTCGCATCCAGGGCATTTGTGGGGTGGTAACGTCGCCAAATATCAGTTCGCGGCAGTGAAGAGTGCACTATCCTCGTCCTGGCTTCGCGTGTAAGGAGCGACGAGAGTGACAGATATTCCGATGATCCGATGCGTCCCGATGTTTGCATGGCGCTGTTGTGCGTCTTGACGCGACCGATGTGATTCGATTCCGACTCCGAGCCGATGGGTCCGTTTCGACGCACGTTCCCACCCGATCCGATTCATTGATTATATGTTGAGCGTCGGAGATTCATATGAAGCAACATTTGCAGCCGTTTCGCATACTCGGGCGCTGTTGTGGTAAGTGGCCTTGAAGGCGTCTGTACCCTTCGGAGCTTCATGTAAATCAACATCTGCGGCCGTTCCGCGAATGCGAGCGCTGCTGTGGTGGGTTGTCTCAAATGTGTTTTTGTTGCACAGGTCTGAGTTTCATACAAGTATAGTGTGTGTGCGGCCGTTCCGACCCTGCTGTGGCAAGTGGTCTCGACAGTTTAAAGTTTCGGGGGTCCCCAAACGGGGTGATGACCACATCGTGCGGTGAGTCGGTGGGGATTCGGGGTCACCGCACGGTTTTGGGACCCGAGTCGTTCGCCGAGGACGTCTCGGGCGACCGGGCCATCCGAGGTCTCAAAGCCGTGCGTTGACGGACCCTGCAGTGAGGTCTTGGGGGACTTCGAGGTCACCGCACTCGCTGTCACGGCACCGCTTCGGGACTCCAAAGTCTGGGATGGCCCATGAGCGGGCGAAGTGAGAAGCCGCCGCATGAGCAGACATGATCGCATGCCCGTGCGGATAGGCGGGAGCGGCGCCGGACCCCGCCCCCCCCCCCCCCGGCGGCGCCTCCGCCGCCGCGCCTGGCACGCTCCGCACGCCATGGCAGGGAGAGTTCAAGAAGTCCGGGAGACGTTCGAGAGGTCATGTTTATATTTGATGTTCTGTCTCTCTGAGTGAAGCGCCTCGCGCGCCCCGCTTGCCCCTCCGGCATAGCGTTCCCCTTGTATGGGGGACATGCTCGACCCAGCTCTGGTCTCGGGTCCGGGTCGGCTCTCCGCCCAGGTCGCTGGGCTGCGTGCTGCTCGAGCTGTGCTCCGGGGTCTTCATGTGGGAGCTGGACGGCATCCTGGGCGCGATGGTCATGCAGGACCGCTGAGCCTCCGACCCCTCGGGGGCCACATGCGACCCCTACCCCTAGGAGGAGGAGGAGGAGGAGGAGGAGGAGGAGGAGGAGGAGGAGGAGGAGGACCCCCCCACGATTTCTGAGGGGGAGGGTGGGGTCCTCTTCGTTCGGGAGCTCCCGAGCGAAGTGGACCCCACCCTCCCCCTCGGAATTCATGGGGGGGCTGGGGTAGGGTTCGCATGTGGCCCCCTAACCCTCCCTCCCTTGACCAGGGCTCGACCTAAACTTAGGTCGGGCATGTCCCCCTACAGGCGGATTTTTGACGAAAAGCAAAACATAGCAGAACAATGTTTCAAAATAGTCAAGAATAATTGTAAACATCGATCCCAGACTATTTTTCTACTATTTTAGAATATTTCTCCTGTAGGGGGACACGCCCGACTTAAACCTAAACGGTGTTTTGGCGATTTCGTGGACCGTTTTCGTTTTGATTTCGTTTTGCAGCGGTGGCGGAACGAAGATAAAAACGTGGGAGCACGAATACAAAAGCACCGGTTTGGTCCAGCCCGCAGCCCTGACCCTCCAGAAGGGCTAGAAAAAAGTCTGAACGCTTCGCGTATCCCCACCAGACTTCACTACGGCGCGGCCCGCCCTAGCTTGCTCGGCGTTCGACTTGGCTCCGCGCGCCCGCGCACCAACAAAAAAGTATCCCCACCAGCCCATCCGGACACGATCGCCAGGTCGTTGCCTTGATGATGGCAGCGTAGCAGCATATAGTGTGACAGCCGCCTTGGATGGCCTTCGGGGGTGCGGGGATGGCGGGGACATTTGCCGTGTGAGTCGTCAACAGGTCGACCTGGCGACGCGTTGGCTCTCTGGGGGTCTTCGTGGGGTCCTCTTCTTCGACAAATGCTGACCTGCCGCAGTTGTGTCATTGGGGAGGGGCTCCTGCACCACGTCGCCAATGCTTTTCCCAACGGGCTTCGAAGACACGTCAGATCAGACTGCCCCGAGTGAGAGAGGAGGAAGACGAGGAGGAGGAATTGGAGGAGAAGGAGGAAGAAGAAGAGGAGGAGGAGGAGAAGGAGGCGAGGTCCCAGTGGTCCTTGGGCCTCTCGGAGCGTCTTGGGCGCCTCGGACGAGCCTCTCGGAGCCTCCCTGGTCTCTCGTGGGGGGCCTCTTCTGGGGGCCGCTCGGCGGGCCTCCCCGGCGGTGCTGGGCGCCTCCCCCGGCGGTGCTGGGCGCCCCCCTGACCTTCCAGGAGGGCTAAAAAATAGCACGCGACCTAAAAACCTATCCTAGAGCTATTCTGCGTCTTGGTTTTAGGCAGTTTCGCTCAGCTTTTTAGGTTTTTAGGTCTCCAGTGCTAAAAAGTAGCTCTCTGGAAGGTCAGGGCCCTGTGGGCCCTCCCGGGGCCCTCTTAAGGACGGCGCCGTTCCAGGGAGGGCGGGGCAGGCCTGCGCGCCGCCCCCCGCCCCCCTCGGAGGCCCTCGGGGCCGCCGCGTGCCCCATCGTGGGCCTCGCCTCGGGGATTTTGGCGGTCCCGGTTTCGCGGGATGCCTGCAGCGGGCGCCCGCGGCGGTTTCATGGTGGCCCCCGCCCGGCCAGCCCGAGCCCCCCTGTGCCCGAGTCTCACGCCTCCCCGCTGCTTCGAGCGTCCAGCGGCTCTCCCCCCTCGCTCCTCCTCGGGGGGGCGTGCGCCCGGTCTGCCTCCATCGCCTCCCTGCGCCGTGCCTTCCTGCCCGCACCGGCCGGCCGACGGGCACCACGCAGGCCTCCCTGGAGCTGCCTCCCGAGCTGGCGGAGGCGGTCGCTCCGCGGTCTGGGCGGGGGGGCGGGCGCTCCCCCCCCCAGGGTGGCGGGTTTTCGGCGGTGTCCCACCAGCCCTCTGGGCGACAGGTGGTCTAACGAGATTCCTCTCTCTTTCTCTCTCTCTCTCTCTCTCTCTCTCTCTCTCTCTCCCCGTCAACTCTCCTGGACATCGCTTCTGGATCCGAGCTGGCGGAGGTGGTCGCTCTGCGCTCCCCTCAGGCGACCGCAAACATGGATCCGGGGGGTGTGGACTGGCGACGGGGCCCGCTTCCATGGGAAAAATCGCGGATTTCCGCCGCCGAGCGAGGCGGCACCGGCCGCATGCGCTTCCCCCGATCCATGGATTTGGCGACCGCGCGCCAGATCCATGGATCGCTGATCCATGTTTGCGCACCCCCGAGTGGGGATGCTTTTTGTTGTCGCAGGCGAAGGCGCCAGCGGCGAGTCGAGTCAGCCCGGGCTACGAGCGGCGAGTGGGGATGTTTTTTCGGTCGCGGCCGCGCGACAACGGTCAGGCGGTGAGAAGCAAAGTCCAGGGCATGCGGCATGCGAATGGGGATATTTTTTTTTTACAGCCGCAGGCGGAAGCGCCGGCGGGGAGCAGTCACGGTCGGGCTGCGGCCGCGACTAAACTCCCGGGCGCGCGCAGGAACCGCGGATCAGGCGGCGAGGGGGCGGCAACCCAGGGCGTCGGAGAGGCCAGGCGGTCGTGCAATCCCAGGGAGTCTGAAAGGTCAGTCACCTGAGGCGGTCGTGCAAGCTGCAACCCAGGGGGTCTGAGGGTCAGTCACCCAGGAGCAGGCAAGGCGCGGCCAAAATGGCGCGCAGTGCGTTCCCGGTCGTGATCGTGTCGAGACAACCGCGTGGTGGTGGGAACGATCTCCGTGCGAGAAAGTCAGTCCAGGGAGTCTGTCGGGCATGAGCAGACTGAAACTGGTGACGTCGTCCAGCAAGGAGGGGGATTCTGACAGCGCCAGCGAACCGTCGCAGCATCAGAAAACGCATCTGCGGCGGAAGGGGAAGCCTGAGGCCGAACAGGCAAAGGCGAGACCCGACCCACTGCTGAGCGATGCGCCTGCGTTCAGAGGACCAGCGATCTGGTCTGGACGCAGCAGGGGTACACAGGTAGCCACTCTGTGAGAACGCGAGGTCACTCGGGAATTGACGTGCACCGAACAACTACGTGACCTAGCGCCAGGCGACCCACACACCCATGTGGGGAAGCGCTCGAAGGACAGCAACCGTCGTATACCCAAGACAGCAAGTCCCTCACAGTCACAGAGTCCCAGGGAGAAACGCACACCTGAATGCGCAGGAGAGCAACGAAGAAGGACCGAGTGCCCGTCATACTCCGAAACCGTGCAGCGCAGTCAGATTGGTGACGCACGGCGACGGTGGGCGGCGCTGATCAGGGTCAGGTCATCGGCCCAGTCGGAGTGGGGCGCAGGCGGACCAGGTGGGCAATCCGCAAGTCCGGCGTGGCGACCCACGACGCTGGACTGCCCGTACCTCCGTGTCTCGCGTTGCTCCCAGGAGAAAAGAGGTAGGCACGGCTGAAGGCCGTTGTAACTTGAAGATCCCAGGGAGTTGAGCGCAGGTCTGGGGACGGGGCGAAAACCGCCAGGTCGTCGGCCACAGGGCTGCGCGCCAGGCTTGGCCTGGCAGGGTGAAAACAGCTACAGTGGGGCCAGGGGCCACTATGGCCACACGCAACACGAGATTGCAGTGTGGACGGTATTGCTGGCACACATATTTGGGTCCAAAGGCAGGAAGTGCGCGTACCAGGAGGGGCGGCAAGATGCCGCAAGCTGGGTCTGTGGTCCAAGGAGCGGCTGAAGGCCGCTGTCTGATAGAGAATCCCAGGGCGCAAGCACGTCTCGGGAGTGGGCCCCGGTCGGTCCCAAAGCAGCATAGCCGAGCACAGGACCATTCGGGCCACTGGTGAGAACCACTACAGCGGGGCCAGGGGCCAGTTAGGGACCACACTCAAAGCCAAGAAGGATCGACCCCCTCGCAGCTGAAGGCTGCTCCTCTCTGTCAAGACGCGTCCTCGTCCACTCCTGCTGTCGCGCACGGTGCTCCCCGAGCTGAAGGGGCGTCTTCGTCGGGAGGAGGCAGGTCTCCGACCGCGGGCGCTCCCTCAGCAGCCCTCCCACCTGACGCCACGATGCAGTTGCCAGGGGGGAGCAATGGGATAAGAGGTGGTGGCCGACAGCCCCGGCGACTGGCAATGTGATAGCTTGAGCTCGTGCCACACGCTGAAAGGAAGGAGGAACTCTTGCTGCTTCGCGCAGCGCTCCCTGGGCAGAAGGCCCGCCTTTTGTGTGTGCAAAATGACGTGCCCAGGGGAGGCGGCGGGCGGAAGGCGAGAGCCGTTTGGACGCCGGCTCACCTCAGCTGGAGGGGTCGGTTGCGCGACCAGGACGGAGGCATCCACAGACCACGGGACGATCCCCTCGCAGCTGAAGGCTGCTCCTCTCTGTCTTGCCGCGTCCAAGGGAGGGAGGTCGGCGGAGTGTGGGCGTAAGCCAATGGGATGTGGATCGTGGGCGTGGGCGGACAGCGGTCGGTCCACCCACGCATCATCACCGCCGCCATCCCACTGGGCAGCCTCAGGCGCAGGCCATCCACCCTCGTTGGACAGGCACCTGAGCCGATCTCCGAGAATGCTGCCGCCACTCA